TTTTATTTTTTTATATATCTCCATAGTGTTACCAGAAACAACCTTCAACTTTTGAAAGATGGACTCATAGTTTCTCTAGGTTCTTGTTGATTTAAATCATTTAATAATACTGCATGTCCTTGGCTGCGTGTAACTCGTTCCTCAGTTTTTTTCGGTGTCGGCTTCATTTTTATTTTCTGAAGCTTGTTTTTCACGTATATCGCCGGTGTTACCCATTCAACTTTTTTTAAATATACCGGTTTTCTCTAATCTGTCCAATTCTTTATCTATCTGTTCAATTGAAGCAAACAGCACATTCTGTTTCCTTTTTAATATCGCCTGAGCGTTTTGTTTTGGCTGTAATTTTGCCTCCATCTTGGTACACATTCCCAAACCTGGAGAAAAAACAGTAGGAAATGTTTCCTTAAGTTTTTTTTACTAATTTTTGGGCTTCGCAATTTAAATTTTCAACCTTGTAACAGAAATAATTTATTGGTAAATCCCATAAGTGAAATTCTGTTATCCAATCCGTACCAAGTAAGTTCGTGGTATTTTTTATGACAAATAGTTTAGCTTTTTGCGTTTTTTTTTTATTTAACGTGACGTTTGTAACAAATTTTCCAATAAATTGTATTTTTCTCCCGTCACTGACCTCGCGATTTTATTTGTTTTCACTAAAGTTGGTTTCCCCAACTTCTTTCACGTATTCAAATTTATGATAGATAGGTCGGAACCAGTGTCGAGTTGCATTTTTAGTTTTTTTATTACTTATTTCGACGGTAACCAATTTTCTGGTTATTCCGTCGTTCACTTCGTCGGACTTTAATTTTCTAATTTTATTGTCTTTATTTTTTGACCTGCAGTGCGAGCTTTTATGACCCACTCTTTCACAGTTGAAACATTTTTTATTCCTAAAATTGCAATATTTGTACCAATGAAGTTCACCGCAAGCAAAACATGGCTTCGGGAGTTTTTGTTTATTTTTCTCTGGTATTTCACTTTTTGTTTGATAATCCGCAATTTTTCACAGTGGAGGCTTGTATTTCGCTAAGTCGGTCCTAAAAGGGTCCGACATACAAAACGTTAGGAACTTGAAATAAGAGTTAATGACGCAGCAATCTAGTTGTGATGGTTGATACTTCAATGTCCGACATCGACTGACTCACTCAACTCCACTGAGCTCAACTGGCGACCGCTACTACTACTACTACTACTTATTATGTGTGGGAGAGTCTATTAATAATAGAATAGGTACGTTCAGGTATAACAGAACTACAGGCAAATTCCGGCGCAGCGGCTCGGACTTGGAGTCGACGGAGTTTGTCCGTGAATAAGCAGGGCGGAGGCGTGTGCCACTTAAGTCTTTCCGATTGTCCTTTACCGCTTGTCTTTAATTCCTCTCTGTAAGCGACATAAGAAGGCGCTCGAGCGCTTGCTATCCTCCACTTTGTGGGGTGGGAACGGAAGCATAAAGTCGACAGAGTAGTCTGTGCACAACGCCTGTGTCATGGAAATCTGGGAATGCCGCACTAGGCGAGTCACAAACTCGCCTCGAGGTTGGCTTTCCTACGCCAATCGTTGACAGGAGATTCGATTATGGCGGGGATTGTTAGGGACGCCTTCCTTGCCTTATTATCAGTCCTCCCATTTCGGATTTCCTTCGCGAATGTCGATCGGCCTTGAGGGTCATTCTTCGATCCAGTGACCTTTCTCGGCCTAGGAGAGTCTTCTATCGAGGGCTAATGGAGGGGGTCGCGAACGATCCGCTATTTGAGCGGCTCGACTGGTTGGAGAAGTCCCGCTCCTTCTAGTCTTGGGCGCCAGTGGCGGATTACATCAGCAACCCTGAGTTTTCGCTTACCTGGTGATTGGTTCGGAATAGGCTATCTTTCAATGACAAGGCCTTCATATAGTACTTGGCGGATTTGCCAGACTGTGAACGATGTGATCTTGGCATGGAAGAAACAGCTTCGCACGCCTTCTACCATTGTCCTCGGGTCCGTCTCCTATAGGACTATGTCGGCAAGTTAACGGCTTGTAACCCTCCCGAAAAGCTCATGCTTATTGATCGTGCGTACGTGTGTGACAGTATGTCGCCCCCGTATTCTGGTGTTAAACTGATGGTGACTTGGAAGATCGCTACAGGAGGAGGTCTTGCGAGGCAACTATCTTTCACATCAGGATCTGATCCCATGTTTTGAGCCCTAGCTCAAAATGAAGATTAAAACTGATAGTAAACGGTTGATTTCGACAGATTTCAGTGAAAGGTGGGTGACTGAGGCAAGCTTTGTTCGTGTGAACGGGACTAGTCTTGATTTTCTTTTTTTAGGTGCGTCTAAGTCACAATCGGGGTGGTTTCCCGTGCAGTCCAGCCCTGGTTATATTACACCACATTTTGTGTACTTAGTTGTGTTGTTCCCTGGCCTGTACCCGGCTACATCTTTTGTTATGATCAAAGTTGAGATTCCCAACCTCCACAGTTTATTTTTGCACCCCCTCCTCCTGTTTTCATCTCGACTCGGTCAGATTTTTTTCTCTCTCCTTAGCTGTATTTATTTTATCCTTTCCCTCTCCCTTAGCGAGAGAGCTTCTAATGTGAGAATACAACGGCCTCTCTTTTTTGAGGGCTGGATGGGTCCAACTAACATCAGTTATCTTTGTTTATTTTGATATTTTAGTTTGATTTCTTTGGTTCATCCCCTCCCATCTCATTTCATGTCATGTACAAATTTTTATGCATAGTATTTTATAATCATGAATTTTTATGTCATGGGGTGCGTTTTGTAGGTCCCCTAGAGAATATGCGGTATTATGGTGTATAGAGGATTGATTGGTGATGGATGAGTTTTTCAGGTGAATGCGTCAATTGTAACGAATTATTATCTAGATTATCTAGATATAGGATAGTAAGTAACGACCAGCCTCAACCCGTTTCCCCAACTTTCGGTCTTGTGACACAATTGTGTATTTTACGCAAAAAAAAAACTTGTGTGGAATAAAGCCTAATTTGGGTTACTCTGTTCTGTGTCTTTCATTACAGTCATAAAAGTCGGGTGAATCGAAGCTGAATAGTCGATGGTCATGAATAAAAGCAACTTTACTGAGAGTTTAGAGATAATAAATCATTTCAAGTCCTAATTTCATTTTAATTTTTGCTTTAAAAAAAAATAAGCAATTATTATGTCAACAATAATTACTAATTATTATCGTAAAAGTAGTGTGATTAGAAGTTGAATTGTTGATGGTCATGAATGAAAGCAACATTATTGCGGGTCAAGGGTCAATAGATAATTTGATGTTCAAATTTAATTTGAATTTCAACAAGGTTAGATTCATTGAAAGGAAATTTTAATATTGAAACAATTTTGCTTTTATGTCAACAACGGTAAGAAAAATAAAAAGAAGTCGCAAATTGTGTCGGTCTTAATTTACAAGAATGTCAACTCGATCATGATGCCATTGTTCGATGACAACAAGATTTTCACTATAATTGATGTGAAGGGTTTTTTAAAGGGTCACGAATGACGAAAGGCCAATGATTTTCATTTCATCTTGATAAGACTTTGCTACGCCATGAAACCTATTTTTCAGTTCGAGAATCCGACTGACACTTCATGGGGGAACATATCCGGGTCTAATATGCAATTTAGACAGAACATATGCGTGTGTGTGAGTGTGTGTGTCTGTCTGTATATGTCTTTGAGTGTATCTGTGTGCGTGTTTAAGTATTGTCTGTGTGTATGCCTCCAAAGGTTAAATCCCATACGAAAACCACTGAATTTTTGTCGTGGAATTAAGATGATGGTTGTTTTTTTTTTTTGTTTTTTTTGTTTTTTCAATTTAAAATTTTTAAAGTTTCTTATTTTTGTTGTTCTGAGGCATTAAAGTACACAGAATTCAATAATTTTCATTTTAAGTTACTTATATTTGCAGCATTTTTTCTTTTTGTTTTTTTTGTGTCTCCAACATTATTACAGAGACCAGGGTAGAGGCTGTTCAGCCTGAGTGGAAAGAAAATGCATTATTCCAGTGTCTTATTTCGGACACAGTCAAACTGCGTATGTGCTTGTCTCTGTATGTTTGATATATATGTAAATTGATTAATTCACCCACAAAAAGTGTCTGTAAATAGATAGATAAGAATAAACTCATACATACATTTAGATAGATATGAATAGCCTAATATATATATATATATATATATATATATATATAGATAGATAGATAGATAGATAGATAGATAGATGAACAGATAAACATATAATATATATATATATATATATATATATATATATATATAGGTGAACAGACTAATAAATATATATATATAAAGATAGAGATAGAGATAGATATTAATAGACTAAAATATAGATCTGTATATACATATATAGATAGATATGAATAGAACAATATATATATGTCGATAGATAGACAAATAGAAATAGACTAATATATATATATATATATATATATATATATATATATATATATAAAAAGAGAGAGAGGGAGGGTGAGAGAGAGAGAATGTGATAGATAGATAGATAGATCGTCTCATATATTATTTATATTCATAATCTGAATTTAGGTAAAAATACCACAAGTGAAATGAGAGGAAAAATGACGCAACTAATTTTGCAACGAAATAAGATAATTATTGAATTTTATTAAAGTTTACGAAAGTTTAAATAAATAAAATTCTTTTTTAAACCTTTTAAAAAATCTTGTAGAAATCCTTTTTAATCCTGTCAGCCGATCCTCATTTAAATTTATGAAAATAACAACTAAAAATGTTGACCCTCACTTTGGGGTAACAACGTATGGTTTCCCGATCAGATAACTTCTTAAATAAAAAGAGAAACTTTATTTATGATTTACAATGAATGATTTCTTTTCTTGACCAATAAGTACGATGGAAACCACTGAATTTTATGTAAGGCGTGGAATTAAATTTTGAAATTTCTTAAAGCGTGTCCGGTGAAAGGAACACTGAAGCAATTTAATTAACATCTCAATGTTAAAAGTAATTGTGAAGGCAACAAATTGGAGCCTCTCTCTCTCTCTGTTTCTTTTACCCTTTGTTCCCTTCCCTTTCACGAATCGCTCGTTTCTGTTCCTCTCACTTCTGCATCGATAACCACCCTCTCCTTTGTTTCTTTTGATTTCTCTCATTTTCCCCTGACTCTGACACTCTCTATATTTCCTTCTCCCTCTCTCTCTATATGTTTAATTTTTTTCTCCCTCACTCTCACTATTTCCCTTCATTCCACACTCTCTCATATTTCATTCAACTTCCTCTTAACCCCCAATTTATTTGTGATTTTAGGAGAAAACTAACATTTTTCGGAAAATCGTTGTTTTTCTTGTAAAATCCAAAAAATTCGGGTGACTATTTTCGGTTTTAGAAATGGAATTTGTATGGTTTTGAACTTTGAACTTTTTTTTTTTTTTTTTTCTAAAAAGATTTTTTGTCTTTGCATTTTCAGATTTTATTTTTCTTGAAGAAATCTAAAAATGGCTTCGTCGTCTTTGAAGAAAGAGACGCCGCCAACAATGCGCCTCAGAGACCTGGTGAAAGATGTCGAAGATTTCGAAAAGCGACTCCGAAAAAGGATTGAATGGACGAATCAATCGATTAAAAAATTGCCAATCGATTGCGAATTGAATTGCTCAAAAATCCGAGAGCAATTTAAAGCGTTTATAGATAATGCAAGGATGAAGGCCGAAGACTTGTGCGACCAAATGAAAGAAAAGACGACCGAAAAACAAAGGAAATGGCGCCAATCTCTCGAGGAGAAAGAAAAGTTTTTGTTAGGCGGCGACGACAACGACGACAACGACGACGTTGTTTCTGGTGTAGAGTTGCTAGGAGCGGAGCTTTCATGGTGGCACAACGAATCGTTCACTCCTGTTGAGGAAGGTCAATTTGTAGTGACCTTTCCAGAATGGTGCCGACGATCATTGGACCAACTGCAAAAAGAAATAGTCGAATTCACGGTAGAGACATGGCCTCCAAGGGAATTGGAACTGCAAAGCGAATACCACCTGCAGGGTTTGAACAATAAGACGATTTGGTCGATTGCCGCCAGCGACGAAGACGGTCACGTGTTTGTTGCCGATTGGGGTGGGGGCGACCATACGATTAAGGAATTCGCCCAGACTGGGAAAGTAGTCGGCCGATGTCTCTTGAAGTACGAAAGACATATAATATTCTCACCCCTGGACATTTGTCGTCTTTCTAAAGACATTTTCGTTGCTTGTGGGTGGGGGAACGGGGGAGTACTTTTGTTTTTGGCACGACAAAAAAGTCAGCCATTTTTAGAAGAAGGAAAAAGAATCAAAACAGAAGAGAAATTTTCTTCTTTGTGTCAAATGGACGAAAATCTTTTCGTTTGCGATTTGGATTTGAAAGTAATTTTTTCTTTTTCTAAAGAAGGAAATCAAATAAAAAGAATCCAACTTGAGAAATCGCTGCGGTGGGGTTTTGATTCTGACCCCATTCTTCGTGCCGATCTGACGACCGGGAATTTGTGGGGCACAAGACGAGGAATGTCGGAAATTGTTGTCTTTGATCAAAATGGCCAAATTCGTCAAATCGTCAAAACTCAAGAAGAAATTTTTGATTTTCATGCAGACGAATTTGGTTATTTTTATTTTTGCAACAAGGACGGAATTTTTTCTATCTTACCGGAAAAAGTTCTGTACAAATTTCCGAAAAAATCTGAAAATTTTCCGAGGCTTTTTGTTTCTCGAAAGAAATTCTTTGTTTGTCTTAAAAATAATGGAAAAACTTTTATCAAAATTTTCAAAACTAAATAAAAAAACAAAATTCTGTAAAAAAAAAAAAAAAAGTTTTTTCAAGAATTTTAATAATAAAACTTATTTTTATTAATTTTATTTTTTTTTTAATTTATTTTTAATGGGAAATTTTCTATTGGAAATTTTTGTAAATGTTTTCAATGATTTCACAATAGGAGTTCATGTAAATAAAGGTGGAAAAAATGCCATTTTTTTTGTAATATGAGTCGAGGCAAATATTCATCTAAACATAAAAGAAGGAAAAACTTCTTGAATAATTCTAAGAAAAAACGATGGATTTTACAAGATATTTTCGTTTGCTCTCATTTTTTTCTCCAACCATCAAAGGTTGACAGAAAATGTGGAACCGAATTTGATTAAATTTTCAAATGGAATGAAAAATAAAAAAAATCGATGAAAATTGATCGATTTTTTCTCTTTCTTTATTTTTTTCTTCGGTGTGTGGTGGGGATCATATTTATGCCCCAAGGAAAGGAAGGATTCTTTATAAGACTGACATCTCTTGGGTCCCGACTGGATGGGTAAGTCGATAAAAAAAAAGGGTGTGTCCCGTCTATACCTGACGTCTGGAGAGGTGGGGGCAAAAGCAACAGGGAGAGAAAAAATGGAGTCAGAAGAAAAACAACAGAATCATCATCATTATCGTCATAAAAATTGTTTTGATTAAAAATGAAGATAAAAGCAAGAGAAAAAGAAAATCTAGTCGTGATATCATCATCATCATCATCATCATCATCATCATCAATAAGAATTATGAAAAAAAAATCAGATCAAAAAATATCACTGATAAAATCCTTTCTTTTTCACAGACTCTCTGCTCCTCCTCCTTCCATATTTACTCCCTCTCTTCCTTCCTCTCCCTTAAACTGTTTTTCTCTCTTTTCTTTATTTTCTCTACCCTCCACCAACCCCGACTTTTTTCCTCTCCATTATACAGGGTGTCCATAAAGTTCGTGTGCCCTTAAAAAAAATTATAACTTTATTTGTATTTGCGATAGAAATAATTTGTAAAAAGGATAAGAAAGAAGTAAATCTATATTTTTTAATGTTTTATTGAAATTTTATTTCAGTTTCCACATGTCCTCCATCATTAGCAATACAAAGGGTAATACGATTTTGCAGTTCACGGAAAACATTTGCCAACTGATTTCCAGTAATGCCTGAAATCACATTAGTTATTTTAGCTATACTTAAAACTAGGTACATTAAACTTTATAACATTTTTTACAGATTATTTCTATCGCAAATACAAATAAAGTTATAAATTTTTTAAAGTGCACACGAACTTTATGGACACCCTGTATATGGAAGGGAGATTAAATTTAATAAGGAAATAGATTTAAGTAGAAGCCATATTTACTGTTTTATTAATGCATTTTCTTTCTGTTAAATGGAATCCATTTGGCTGGTATTATACCGAGATGATTGAACACAAAGGATGGATGATGTCCAGTTTGCCAGTTTTGATAAGTTGCAATAAGCAGTTATATATATATATATATATATATATATATATATATATATATATATATAAAGTATTCTTTTATTTCCACAAGTAACAAATGTTCAAGTCAAATTTTACTAAAGACAACAGACAGTGTTGATTAAATGATCGACTTTTCCAAATGACAATCCTTCAAATTCCGTCAGAAATTGTCCAAAGTTCAGATTGGAAGAAAAATAAGAGAAATATGGTTCAAATGTTTCAACTTTGATAAGTCATCATCAGGGTAGGTAGAAAGAAATGGTGAATTTCATAGAACTGGTGAGTGTTGTGACGTGTGTAAAGAGTCTTATGATGGAGGCGACGTACGTGATGTCTGTGTATCTGTTGATAAATACATTTGAGGAGGCGGCGGCATCTTAAATTATTATTGCTTTTAGACATCGTAGTTTTTGTTGTAAGAATTTTGCTTCAAGGATCATAAGTCTGTTTTGATTATTTGATTTTACTGGTATTGTTTGTGTGTAGCTGTCTAATGTTACCAATGAAAGGAAATGTTAGCATAGAATTTATGGTAACACCTAAGCGCAGTTAACAAAAGATTGTAGGTCTTTTGTGAGATAAGTTGCCAATTTCACTTTATCGAAGCGATAAGACAAGAGTAATTAGTTGTGACATCAGCATAGAGACCGGCTTGAAAACGGATGACATCGGGAAGGTTGTTGATGACAATTGGGCACATCGTTTATAAATAGACGTCAGGTTAATTGAAAGTCAACGTAAATTATAGCCGATGCTAAGTGATGTCATATGGTTGTTGAATTGTTTTTTGCTTTTTTCATCTAATTATTATTTATATTATTTTAGTTTGGGATTAATTCATGTTTGATTTATATTAAAGAATAGGCTTTGAATTCAACAGAATTAAATAGCAGGGTAGACTGGCTTTTCTAGCCTTGAATGGTAACCAGTCAAGGGAAAAGACATTAGGAAACCGCCTCATACGAAAAAGATTGAATTACATTTCACAGATATTGCAAAAAAGAAAAGCAGTTTGTGGAGAGCCATAACCGCTTACCCTTAGGTTCGGAAGAGACGAGTAGATTGGAATTAAATTAATTTCCGGATGGAAGATTATGTCTTGAAGGGACAAAAGAAACAGAGTGAAAAAAAAAAGTACTAATAACATCGTCGTCATTATCTTATATATAAAGTACAGTCTATATGCTTGTGTTTGTGCGTGTGTGTGTGTCCAAGCAACTCCTCCGCTCCCACTGGTCCGATTGCAATGATTCATAGCTCATTCAAAAGCCCTAGAAAGGTTATTCGCAGGGAACGATTTTCGTTGAGCTCAGATTCAGCGTTTCCAGATTATGCAGTTAAAAATACATATTAGTATATTATATACCATAATATAAGTTTTACTTAATTAGCTATTATGTTTCTCTAATTTTTCAAATGTTGAATGTATAACTAATTCTAATTTCTATTTTCCCATCTTTATGCTATATTAATCTATTCCAGTCTCTTCATTATCTATCTATCTATCTATCTATCTATCTATCTATCTATATCTATCTATCTATCTATCTATCTATCTCAGTCTCATCATTATCTATCCATTTCAAGCTGTACAAATTTGTCCACACCCATACATGATGCGTGGAAGAGGCAATAAAATTACTTGATAATTTCCCACGAAGATTGTTTGAATAGGCATGGTGTCCCAATTTAAATTGTGTGATGTGCATATTTTTAATATTAAATTCCCCTCAATACAAGTCATTCAACGCAGAAGGTCATTGTTAAAATGGTAATGCTGAATGAGATGAGTGTAATGAAAGGGGTGGTATAGAAAGTGAAACTTATGAGGAAAAGGAGGATATACAATGATTGACCCTTTAATTGAATAGCTTAACATTGTACTGTTCAAGGTAGAATCCATGCGAATGTCTGTTCCAAAAAGTGGCAGTTTTGGGAGAAAAAGCTGCCAGAGTGGAATTTATTTGAAATATAGATGAAATGAGGCCGATTCGATTCCTTGGAAATAGCATGGTGTGTGCTAATTGTAAAGGTTGGATCTGGTGGAACTAAAGAATAGAGCGCTCATCTGAACATTTGTAATGAAAATAGCAATAATGTTGCAGAATGTATAAACTTGAATAAATGACAAACTCTAACTTACTGGTCAGAATTTTAAAGGCCTCGATTGAGTTAGGGACGGTTTGAATTTTGTGATTATGGAATCCTAGTAGTAATGGATAGTTTTTGTTTAACTTTTAATATCAAACTGAAAAATACATGAAAACGGTCAGTGCATCGTTGCATTGAAGATCCTTTCCTCTTTTACTTTTCTTTCTACACCGTATCTTCATTAGAAAGAGAGAAGTCACTACAAAGAGATGATTGGTAACTGGCCGACCTGTCGACATCTGTCACCTTTTCAGTTCCTCCGAGAAATAATCCTACTACGATGTCCTAACATTGAAATAAAGAGAAGAAAAAGAAACATGTCGAAAACTGTTTGTCATTTATCTGTGTTACATAGTTGGATTTCTGATATGAGGATTTGCGAACAGACCAGCAGAATCCAAGACAACATGCAACGCAAAAGTAGTGAAAACCTTGCAACATTTCGTCTGTGGTAAAGAGGCTGTCGACTAGAGAATAGGTCTTTCCCTTACAAGAACCCGGAAAACATTGCGAACTATGTCAAGGCTGGAAAGTGACGTTCCAGCCCCCCCCCCAAGCAATATTCCTCCATTTCAGTCAAACCTAACACTTGAAAACATCAAGCATGGAAGACGGAGTCAGATATTTTTTGGATTGATAGATTAGATGATCATTTTTCCAATTAATTGTATATGAAAGTTCTAATTGAAGTCTGGAGTGAACTGGAAACCTAATAGACATTCAAATCATGGAGCCTCATTGGGGGATGGGGGGATTGAGGTCATTGTCAGTAGAAGATATAACCGGTTCTGATCACTGATGATGAAATGATATCAGCTTTTGTTGTTTTTGCATATTGAATGTTAGAAAAAAGAAATCATAGACCACATTGAGGGTGGAAAAAGTATTGTGACTCTCAGAAATAACCGGTTCTGGTCATTTATAATTGAATAATATCAGCTTGTTTTGTCTTTTTTTTTTTTTTTTTTTTTTTGCTTTTGAAAGTTAGAAAGAAAAATAACAGAAGAAACCATGGAACCTCATTGAGGGTAGAAGACGTCATTGTAACTGGAGAAAATAACCGGCTCTGATCGCTGGTGATGAAATGATATCAGCTTGTCCTTTTTAAATATCGAAAGTTAAAACAAAAAAAAAATTTCTCCGTCCATCTGTTCACATTAGGTCAGCTGAGAGATAAGTTGCAAGAGTCTGATTTTGGGAAGTGAGTCTATAAATTTAAAAAAAAAAAAAAAACAGTATTGAAAAAATTTTATGTCATCAATATTTGTACCACATTCTATACCTGACTATATCTGCAAACTCTCTCAAATACTTTCTGTTTTGAAATTTTATAGAAAACGTGGAAACAATTTAATCTTAAAACACATTTCACGAATACATATACTCACCTATCACCATATTATCCATGGCTCTAGCAATGGTTCTAAATGAGTGTATAATAATTTGTCGAATGGATGCAAATCAGTTTTACAAATCCTATATTTAGCTACCAACAGTTTTGTGTTGCTTTTACTTCTGTCAAGAGACTTAAAATATATAGGAAAAAGTCATTGTTATATTCCGTGCTAATAGGAAAATATGTTTGAAAAACAAGGTGGATAAATAAGTAAAGGTTTATTGTTAAAAACCAGTACAATAAGAATAAATGTAACAGTTATGTACAAGGTCATTACAGAAGTGTGTGCTACTATTGGAAGGTCTGTAGTTCTCGCGTAAGTCTGAGTCGTACTCAACAGATCTCAGCTAGTAATATTTACCAGCCTCCGCACGAGGTACGATGTTGCACAAGGCCGAATTTAATGTGAGGCAATCCGAGCCCGTAGGAAAAAAAAATTCCCCTGTAACCCTGTAAAAACCTCCCCCGGGCGAAACTCTGCCCTTCAGCATAGCCTGATCCGGGTTCCTCTCTGCCCGAAGGCAGAGTGTTCGACAACAGCTAGGAGCCGAGTAACAGATCTCATCCAGTCGATATTTACCAGCCTCCGCACGAGGTAGGATGTGGCACAAGGCCGAGTTTAATGTCGGGTAATCCGATCACTTAGGCTCGGTCAAAAATTGCCTGCAAACCCCATATAAAACGGGGTTGGGTAGCTGTTTCCCGAGACGAGACTCTGCCCTTCAACATAGCCTCGTCTGGGGATCCTCTTTGTCCGAATGCAGAGAGTTTGACCAGTACAGCCGGAAAAGATTCCAGGTAGTCTCTGTAGTCCGTTGACTTACATATACTTATAGGTAGTTACTACCTATAGTGTAGTCACTCATGGAGGTGATAGGTTATTCTATTACATCAGTCATAAACTTCAATCGAAAGGAGTAATTGCTTGAAATAAAGAAAACATTTCTCAAATAAAAAATCTTCCTTCAAGGTCAGTTAGTTAAGCGTGTCATGCGTGATACACGCTTAGGCGATCATGTATCTTTCGATACATGACTGGCGAAGCAGATTTTTTCACGCAGTAGGTTGCCATTTCTTTCTGCAGTACACCAGTTGTCATCCAAGGCTATAGAACCCGGTCTGTCCTGCTTTTTACCCATAACTGGTGGGGAGTAAACGAGAATTCATACCTTTCCCATGAGTATTAACACGTAAGTGAATGTAATGGATTTGATTGGAATTTGAACTCAGCTCTCCGATTCCTCAATCCAAGCCGCTATCCTCTGCAGTGGAAAACGTAACTAAGCGAGATAACTTCTTTAATTTTAAGGGAAGGTACTCTGTAAAGATGCAAGGGAGATAAATGCTATACAAAATTTTCCTTTGTCGTTATTCACAAAGACCAAATCAAAAGAAACAGCAACAAAGATTGTGTAGCACCAATATTCTTAAATCTTAAGTATCTGTCGAGAAAATCAACATTCAAAATTCCTACTTGTCAATGGCAAATACGTCTGCAAGTGGATCGTAATTTCTTAAAGTTTTTGTAACTCAATTTAATTGAAACCTGAGGTGAGACACATTATGAGAAGCTTCCAGAACTTCAAGGTGGCTTCCTGCTCAGTCGGGAGTGGAGCCCGAGGCTCGTCACTCCGACTCGCCCTGATTCAACCAGTCGATCATTCCATGTTGTATGGGAGATTCTCATCTGAGGAAGTCCTAAGCCAAACTGACTGAAACGCCCACAACAATTGCGGACTTGCATGAAATCATTTATTTTAAAATTCACAACAAATATTTTCTTGGTCAGACATTTCAGAGTCGATTACCTATCCTTGTCAAATATTGAGAATTGCTGAGAGGAATTCTAGTCGCCATATTTGTAGTGAAGGGCATTCCAATGCAATGACCTCTTTGGACAAAATTGGACACAGAAATGAAATGGAAGAATCTCAAGACGAAGCCTTCTTCTGCGACAAATGGAAAAGATCGAAGAAAGGACAAATGAAGACAATAAATATTTAACTAGGATTCCATATTGGGAGAATGGGAATATTTTAGTTCGGATTCACTCACGGCAAAGCTAGCTAGCTCGATTTCTCGCTTTCTCTTCATCTCTCTCTCTCTCTCTCTCTCTCTCTCTCTCTCTCTTTTTCTTGTTTATCTGTTATGTGTAGCGAAGAAAGAAACACGATTTATTCAGTGACCCCATCTTAAAGTGAAGGAGAGAAAAAGGATTAAATGCATTTCTTTTTTTTTTTTTTTAATTTTTTAATTCAATAAAATAAAATTTTATTTAATAATATACAATGATAGTGGTCAGTCAATAATTTGAAATTTTATGGTATTTATTATTAATTTATATTTTTTAAGATTTTATTTTTCGTTTTATTCTTTATTATTAATTGTTATATCCCGATTGTTATGAAATGTTAAATTTTATTATTTCTTTGCTAATTGTACACTTATTTTATTCAAACATAAATTGCTACCATGCATAAGAGTTATAAGATTTTTTACAATATTTTGTGGCCCTGAAAAAGGGCCGTTTTTTTCTACATTTACCTCTTCAAATGTCCTCAGAAGTAAAATGAAACAATTGCCCACAGCCGAAAAGCTTTATAAGAGCAGAATTCTGCATAAAGGGGGACAACCCTTGAAACACGTGATGTTTCAATGATAATGTCACATACGAAACACCCTACTTAAATAAAGAACATTTAGACACAAACAAAAATGTTATGGTATTTTTTATTAATTTATATTTTTTAAGATTTTATTTTTTCATTTTATACTTTATTATTAATTGTTATATGATTATGTTTATGGTTATGACGGACATTTGCTTTTTAAGCTCTGTGCTATCAAATAAAAAATTTTCTGAACAGTTTTATTTAGGTGTAAATTTACATGCTTAATTAAAAAAAAATAACAAAGAAATTTTGATAAAATCTACCGTTTTGTAGTTATCAATAATAAAATTTCAGACTCCTTCACATCATTGGCTGCTAAGGCACGGCAATCATTACTGGCGTTGTGTGCATGCATTTGCTGCTGAATAGATATGCGCAGAAGATTACCTTGTTAACATCCTTTTTACTGACCTTACTTGTCTCAATTACTGCGCAGCTGAGAACTCATTGCGTGCACAGTAATCTAAACAAGTGAATGTCTATTCCGGAGCAAATCTATGCAAAAAATGCCAGTAATGGTTGCCGTGACGTGAATGTGTCCAAAATTTTATTGTCGATAACTCCAAAATAGTAGATTTTATCAAAATTTGTTATTTTCAAATTAAGCATGTACATTTACACCTAAATATAACTGTTCCGAAACTTTTTATTAGATACTTATTGCAGGACTTAACAATCAAATTACCTGCTTATGAAATGTTATTTTATTAAATTTTTAAAGTACTTAAGTTTAATATTACTTAGGTAATTGTATACTTATTATACTCTTCAACCATCTACAGAAATAAAATGAAACAATTGCCCAGAGGCGAAAAGCTTTATAAGAGCAGAATTCTCCATAAAGGGGGGGACAACCCTTGAAACACGTGATGTTTCAATGATAATGTCACATACGAAACACCCTACTTAAATAAAGAACATTTAGACACACACAAAAATTTGAAAGCTTATCTAATTAAATAATTAGTTTTATTACAGTTTTCATTTTACCATTTAGAGCAGATTTTAGGGAATTTAGTAAGAGTTTAAAAAAAACTGATGATTTACATTCTCTAAGGAGTCTGTCTTTTAACTAATAGAAAACATTTACTTAATTTCATGAATGTGTTAGAATTTAAAACTGCCAACGAAAGGAATTTATTTTTTAATTATTATTTTTTGAAAATCTTGTTAACAGGTGCAAAAAAATATTTTTAGCAAGATTTTCAAAAAGAATAATAATTGAAAAATAAATTCCTTCATTTGTGAATAAGTCGTTAAAGTATCATTAAATTTCGACAATTACGGGATTTTTGTAAGACTTTCCAAATTAATGTGTTATTTTACCGAAAAACAGGAACAAAATTGTCCATTACCAGACCTGTTATACCGTTGACGCATAAAAAAACAAAAATTTCGAACGTGTTAGAAAACAGTAAATGTTTCAAAAATAATTAAAAATACTTTAGTCTTTCCTCTTAATAATACAAACATTTTGACGATAAAACTTTGTTTTCTTACATGAAATAAGATTTAATTGACGTGTCAGTTTCTACACATCAAAATACATATAAGAATCAGCAATAAAATGGGTATGGAAAAAATGGCTTATTGTTAGTGTTTAAAACCCCGACATTTGATGCTTCGATTATTGTTGTTAATCTTACATAAAATTGATTGCAATGGATTATTTCTGCTTCAAACTATATAAGAATCAGTTACAAACTATATAAGAATCAGTTACAAACTATATAAGAATCAGTTATCCCGAACTTTGATGCTTCGATTATTGTCATTAATCTTACATGAAATTGTAATTGTTGTTTTCTGTTTCTACATCAAACTACATTTTACGCAAAATTTTAAGTTTTGTTCAAAATCAGATATTTACCAGATGGCTCTCTGGTCGGCCATTTTCCCCAAACCCTATCAAGGTCACTGCATTCCAGTCATAAATAATCTTTATTCTCAAGTTCTGGTCTGTGTTTTTATAACCATCACTTTTCAATTGTCAGGGGTCGCCACGTTGCCTTTTCGTAAAATTATCCCTTACGAAATTCTCCGGTTTCTTGAGAAAATGAAATTCTCAATCTTTCTCATAGTAGTTGATTGGTATATTCATCGTTCTATCTATTAAACCTTCTTTTCAGTTGCCAGCGCTAAGCAGTGTCGCACAACGACCGAAACGTTGTTAACATGTCAACAAACACGCGGACAACAATCCAAACAATGGAAATAGTGTAAAAAATTAAATAGTTCATCTTAGACAGATCCTGAAGGAGGCTTGAACGTACAACGGCTGAAACGTCGTGAATATGGCAACAAATACGAAGTCAAAAATCCGAACTATATACTATACTTCATTTCAGAAATGACGGGGAAAACTACCCAAACAATGTAAATAGTGTAAAAAATTAAATTACTTTATCTCAGAAATATAGGCTGATCTTGATGAAGTCGGTAGCGTACAACGGACGAAACGTCGTGAATATTCCAACAAAGATGAGGATAACAATCCGAACAATGTCAATAGTGTAAATAAAATGCCTCATCATAGAAAAAAATATATATATATATATATATATATATATATATATATATATATAATGGTACCTTAAAGTGGTCTGTTTTTTCCTTAAATATTAGCTCTGTATTCACATTGAGCTCTCAGGATTTCATCCTCCTTGGAATTATCCATTCGGTTTACCAAGTTCTTCGTAACTTAACTATATATATATATATATATATATATATATATATTGTTGCTAATTATTTCAAGGTCATTTTTATAACTATAATTCCTTTTCATTCAGCTGCCCGCTTTCTAGCGTATATATTTCCCTGCTTCACGATTCTTCCTTCAAAGATTTTTGTTGGAATGTGGTATTTTTCCTGAAACACCATCGTTGAATCTTATTTTAGGAAGAAACGGACTGTGTGAGAATCTTCCAGAACGGAACTAGAATTGATGCATTTCTTTTGAATTATTTCTTAGAATGGAGCATTTTCTTTTATGCTATGAGGGAAACATTTTTATTAATAGGCGGATTTGTTTAAAACTTTGTTGTCTACGGCGCTTTGCGTTGCCCGATTAAGAAATCCAATATGAAGAATAAGAAGATGAAACGTAAGTACCTTTTCAAGAATATAATCTTCAGTGAAATTTTCTTGTACAAGAAGTGATCATTTTTTGAGTTTCGGTGTAAAAACAGAAGATTCAAAATTCATTCATTTGGTGGAATTGATAAAAGGAAAAGAACTCATGCATTTATGTGGTAAAATAAGTCCCAAACATTTTTTATTTATTTATTTATTTATCTATCTATCTATTTATCTATCTATCTATCTATCTGACTGTCAATCTATTCACTTATGTTTTATTTTATATATTTTGCCTCGCTTTCATTTTCTCCAGTCGGTTGATGTGTGTTTTTATATGTCCCTTTATTCATTTCAAAAAATAGTGAACACACACACACAGACACACAGACACACACACACACACACACACATATATATATATATATATATATATAGCCATTGTAGCCAGATAAAAAAAACAACCCAACCTTACAGAACTTTAAAAAACTTAACATATAACAATCAGCCCTACTTTCATCAAAGCAGAGACCCCTTGATAATGAAAAACTAACCCCAGATTACACCTCCATTTCAAAACTATAGCTTAGTTATTCCAAACATCGCTTGAGGATGAAGCTGTCACCTAAGAGTTAAGGTTTAATATTGAAATTAAATTTGGATACTGATGACCATAGTAATTTCTGTTTCGCGATGGACTCATATTTTTAAAAAATAATCCTAAATTTAGGCTCTACATTTGTATCGAGCACTGTTTTTAAAAAATAAAAACAAAAATACTAAAGAACTTCGGATCCTCAATCTAACAGTTCTTTCCTATTATATCAATATATTGTTTGGTTTATTGGTTTATTTACGGCATATCAACACCTCAATGGGTTATTTAATGGCGACAATTTTTTTATTGCTGGCAATATTTTGTTTTATCAAATCTGTGTCTGGTAATATTTTTCCTTCAAAATTGTATTGCTGGTAATCATTTTTGTCAAAAAAGTATTGCTGGTAATAGTTAACTATTTGTTCATAGCTGGTACCCTAACAGGTGCTACCACCCCGGGGCATGGTGGATCGGGGAACACCGGGAATTAAGAGGTGGTTCCACGCTCCTGATCCGAGGCCTTGCTGCTGGACGTAGTTTATCGTTTTACCCAGGATACGGATGTAGTTTAATGTCTTACCCAGGACGAAATATCAATATCAATATATATATATATATTCATGAATTATTCACACAAAAACAAATGCAAAGGTTAATGATTTAATTGGCGAGAAATCCATCGTCGCAAACAATTCAAATAATATATATATATATATATATATATATATATATATATATATATATATATATATATATATATATATACTTTATTGAAAAGTATTGACTTGATGTCCACACTCATGAGTAATACTCTGGCGACGGGTCTGCCATGAATAT